ATTTAGTGTGACTGTAATTTAGGTACGTAGTTTTAGTTGGGATAAAAAATTACCTATATTAAAAATGATAGGAAACGATTCTGAACAAACTACTTTCTCAAAGTGCGTTAATTATGTTACATGTTGTACAGATGATGCTTTAAGCAAAATATAGTAGTTAATTTATTATTACACTAAAATAAAAATTAAGTATATGATATTTAGAAAAGAATGTGTAGGAATAATATGAAAACAACTCAAAATCGTGTAACGTAATTTTACAATTTCACGACAATGTAAATTTTAAAACTTTGGGACTGTAAAAGGGAAGTATGATATGCCTACTGCCAAGCCCCTATGATCTTCGCCGATACCAAAAAAAAAATTTATAGCTCTTTTAAAATTCGATTTATCATGTTGTAGGTACTCGGTGGTTAAGAAAAAAATTATAAGCTTAATTTACTTATTTACAATTTAATAAATAATTTGCACAACATCATTTCTATCGATGACATTAGTTAACTATTGTACTTTTTTACTAAGATATTAGGGTTTCTATATTTTTTATAAATAATTATTATGTTATTATTTATTATTTTTGTTTACTGTGTTTAATTATATCATTATAGAACACTATTTTACATATCTTAATTACAAAAATGCCCTCGATCACTCAACACCACCATTGAACAAATTCGTACCTGTACTTCGTACCCATATATCAGAATATTAATCAGAAACAGCAACTTTTTTATTCAATATGGATTATAAATAATAGTTAGTGAAAGTCGCTTTTTTATTTATTTTCTTATTTATTACTACTGGTTCGCAAAAAAACCTCTGTACTGAGAAGAATCTGCAAGAAAGTGGGATTATTTTTTTAAAATAATAGCTTACAATCATGTGTTACAATTAACAACACAAAACAAATTAGAAACAGCTTGGTAGCGATCACCTTTCTCATGGGTTATTATCATCCATAAATTCCTTAATATTATAATAACCATTTTTATACAAACTTAATTTAATAAAGATTTTGAATTTTGTGTATGTCAAATTTTGTATATTTTCTGGGATTTTGTTGTAACAGCGTATATATCGCCCCAAGAATGAATTACTAACCCTGTGGAGTTGAATCATAACTTTTGATAGGATGAACCGATTTTAATAAAACAAAGACTAAAACGACACTTCACAATTTTCCTAATGATTATTTTGATTTAAATCAGTACTTTATACATGATATGTTAACAAACAAACAGAAAGACAGACTATTCTAAAAATTATAGAAATGTATCCAATTACTTATTTTTAGTCCCTCTCAATAAATTTTGTTACAAAAATATAAAATGTGCAGACATCTACAATTTGCACTTTTATTATATGTATGGAAGATATTTGCACCATTTCTTCTATAAACGGTTTTTTTCTTTATACAATTTTTAACATCCTCTGGCACCAACGTTAGTTGGTTTTGGAAATCCGAGAAATATGTATTCATTTACTCGAAATTCTGTAAATAACTTACAGTTTCGAGTCAATTGCACAGTAAAATAAAAAGTTTCATGCAAATTGTAACATCCTATTTCACCTCATTTTTTAGTGAATGCCTACGTCATAAAATGCAGCTACTGTACAAATTCAGATTTGTGCGTCAAGCGGTTTGGGCTGTGCGTTGATACTGTACATGAGTCAGTCACTCAAGACATCTTATAATATATACCTATAATATTTACGAAAAATATATAGCAGGGATAGCTTATCTTAGATTATACAGCAACTTTTCAAAATGTGTAATATATATTTATTGTTTTAATAAAATTATTGCATCTTAAGAATATTTTCCTAAAATAGCATATTTTTACATTCATTATTCATATATATATATTCATTATTCACACACAAACACACACACACACACACACACACATATATATATATATGTAGGCATCTACATCTATCCTCGATTACGAATCAAAATGCAGATGCGTTGTCACCCCTGAGGACTACGATGGTATGCCTCGTTTCCAGTAAAAAGAGTCCGGTTCTCTACACTCACCATACGAAACACAGCAGCATTAAGCTACTATTTTACGCTGGTATTCTGTGAGAGCGTGGTCCTTCCCTGGTCGAGCCGACCCATTCGTGCTACAACTATACTACTAATATAACTGCAGCATGGCTCTACCGCATTTAAAATTTTACTTCTTGCTTATTATTTCTTGAATTTTTTCTGTTTCAGGAGCTGGAGATAGTCATTGGTGAAGAACATATTTCATTTACTACATCGAAAACAGGATCTTTGGTAGATGTTAATCAATCTCGAGACCCTGAGGGTCTTCGGTGTTTCTACTACTTGGTGCAAGATCTCAAGTGTCTAGTATTTTCTCTAATTGGACTTCATTTTAAGATTAAACCGATATAGATCATTAAACTGTATTAATAAAACATTAAAACATTTTCTAAATTTCACATTGTGTTTTCATCTTAACTTTGAAGAATATTGTATTTTAGTGCAATGATTAGATCAATCATCATCTATGAGCATGCTTATTTAAAAGTATGCTTTCATCATCATCATCATCATTACAGCCCTTAACAAGTCCACTGCTGAACATAGGCCTCCCCCCAAGTAATGTCACAAAAGCACGGTCCTGAGCTACCTGCATCCATCGACTTCCTGCATGTCTTACCTGGTCGTCACTCCATCTAGTGGAGGGTCGCCCTACACTACGCCTACCGGTACGAGGCTGCCACTCGAGAACCTTTCTTCCCCATCGGTTATCGGTTCTTCGAGCTATATGGCCGGCCCATTGCCACTTCAGCTTACTAATCCGTTGGGCTATGTCGGTCACTCTGGTTTTACTGTGGATATCCTCATTTCTGAGTCTATCACGCAGAGAAACTCCGAGCATAGCCCTCTCCATAGCTCGCTGAGCAACCTTGAGCGTCCTCATACGGCCAGTAGTGAAGGACCACGTCTCAGATCCGTAAGTCATCACTGGCAACACGCACTGGTTGTACACTTTAGTTTTCAGAGATTGAGGTATACCTGACGAGAAGAGGTGTCGTAATTTCCCGAACGCTGCCCAGCCGAGTTGAATCCGTCGACCGACTCGACCGGGGATTTGCCGTTTTTATGGTTCTGGAGAGCCATTCCAATCTCGCTCAGATTGACGTCCGGGATATTATCGGAATAGTGTCGGATAAGACTTGCTCTTGGATCGTTAATCACACTTGCGTGTGGCTCCAACCATGATGTGTACAGCTGCCCATAGAACCTCTCAATCTCACTCAGAATCTCAGGTGTCCCGGAAACGATGCTGCCACACTCAGTCTTCAGCTTTGACAGTTGGCTCTTACTGGCAGACAGAGCTCTGGCAAAGACTTTGGAGCCCTGGTTCCACTCGATCGCTTCTTCAATACGAGCAGTATTAAAGTTGCGCAAATCTCGCCGCATGCATTTGGAGATCTGTCTGTTCAGTTGCCTGTATGCTGTCAAATCTGTTGACGATTGCAGCCTCATCTCCCGTCTAACAGCCAATAGATTAAGAGTGTGATCGGAGAGTTTTTGTGTTCGTCTGCGGCGGGTCTTGCAAAACTTAGCCCCGACCGCATGGACAGTTTCCACGAGCTTGTCATTCATATCGTCCACTGCATTGCAATCTTCTAGGCACTGAAAGCGGTTACGTAACTCGAGCTGTAAGGTTTCGGGATTCTGGATTAGAGCACGAGGGGGCGGAGCGTTGACTTCATTAGTCGAGACCCCTCCGACTTAACATTTAGGTTCAGTGTGCCTCTAATAATATCGTCAAAATCACCAACAGGTAAAAATTATTTACCGACGTTAAAATTTTATTATAAAACAAGTAAAATGAACTAATCCCCATTATTTTATCATTGTGTTAAAAAATTACGTCAGAATTGTCGAATGTTTGACATGTAAGCATTGACTTATATATTACTAGCATAAGGAGCGGGCCGACCGAACAACTGAAACGGACGTAGACAGAGAAACCTATAGACAAATTGACGCCTTCTTTCGCATTCGCGCACGAAAAAGATAGATTTATGCATACGTCTTGCATAGAAATGAGACAGCGATGTGATTGTTTGTCCCTTTCTCCGTGCCAGTTTTTTTGTTTAACAAACTACACTTTGCTAAACAGCTTTGACAGTTCATAGCGAACTAATGAGTTTACAAGTTGGTTTAAGTGAGAAAGAAAGTGTTTTGTGAGCTTAACCCCTTCGGACCTGAATCTATATAAAGCATCAATAAAAATATTGTTAAGGTTTTTCTGTGACTTAGAAGTGTAATTAAGGGATTTTTGTAAAAATATGCGATTTATCGTTTCCAGATTTTTGGAAATTTTGATGTTCACTCAAGTGGACATCAGGTTTAGAGTGTTGTATTAATACATATTTAATGAGTAAATGTTTTGTAGTAATATTTTGAAGTCAGTAAAACTATGTAATATTATTATAATAGTTTATTTTTTATTTAACATTTTAAACTGTTAGGATTATTCTTGTTTTTGATGAAATTTTCGAAAGCAATTTCGCTCACCAGTAAAACACAGATGTATTTCACATTTCAGACAGTAAACATGCGTCTTTCCTTTACATCCTGGATTTTTACATCTTGTAGCTTCTTTCTTTTGATCATATTCTGGCAAATGGTCGATAGTGTCATACTGGATTTCGCTCGCTGGTCTTATTTCAGTCCTGAAACGGTGTTGTTTTGGTGTAACTGGTGAATTTACTGGACTGCTACCACCAGATGCGGGACGTCCTCTTTTTCTGCTAGGAATTGGATGCCCCATTTTTATTAGAGCTTCTGCAACGCGCTGCCGAAAGTGCAACAAATCCAAAAGGTCTGTACTTGGTATATTACAGATTTTGCAATCTTCTTGGTATTCCAGCCAGCTATTGGTTAGTGCTAGGTCAATGGCGTGAAATATCACACGCAATGTCCATTTTTTGGATCTAATGAAGATTCGATACAAACTAATCAGTTTTAACTAATCAGTTTTATCTACACCGCCCATACCATTGTTATATAATTGCACAAGTTCAGGACGCGGTATAGTTACGTAATTTTTAGATATTTTATTCCATCGTCGAACTTCATCTTGATTTCCTATTCCAACAAAATTTGAAGCAAGTACTACACCTTTGTTGTCAATCCACTTGATAACAACCACATCTTTAGTATTATTCGTAACTTGATCAGTATGTCCCCTATCTTTTTTTGTCAGTTATGAGTGGCGGTTTTCCAAAACGATTTATTCTGATCGTTCCTCCTGCATAAATTTCCCTCTCGCGAAGATCCTTCAGCAAAACGTAATTAGAGAAATAATTATCAAAGAAGAGGTAATGACCGGACCTATTTATTCTCTTTGACAAGGCATTTACATAAGCAGCAGATGTGCCATATTTCAAAACGTCATTTTTGTCTAGATTTGTAGTTGCGCCTTGATAAATAATAAATCATAAACTAATCCACTCTTACCGCAAATCATAAATATCTTTACACCCCATGGCTGTGGTTTTCCCTTGACATATTGTTTGACTTCAAGTTTTCCTCGAAAAGGTACAATCTGTTCATCAACGCTCAATATTTGCTCTAATTTTAGTTCTAGACATCGTTTTCTAACTGAATCATATAAAGGTCGAACTTTGATAAAACGATCGGTGTTATTTTGTGGAATAGAATTGTTATCAATTACATGCAAATTGTTTCTCATCTGAAGAAATCTATCTCTGGCCATGTTCTCTAAAAATATTTTCATATCTAAACTGGAATACCAATACAAACGAATACGAGGAAACTTTAGGTTACCCATTATGATATGAAGGCCGAAAAATATTTTCATTTCTGTTGAAGTACATGGCTTGAAATTACGGACTTCATTTCTCACCACATACAAATTTGTATTGAATGTAAAATCTTCAATTAGAGACTCTGATACATATTTAGAAAAATAATCAATGGGAACGCGAGGTGAATCAATTTCAGATGGTGGTGGCGCTGACCAAATGAATTGTGGTGGTTCAAGCTGTAAATTTTTTCTCCAAATTATTTCATTTTTAGGCTTACTACTTGATCCTGGTCTAGATTCTACCTCCTCTAAGTCTTCTTCCTCTACTATATGGTCCTCCTCTTCAGAGTGATTACCTATCTCTCTTTCGGTTGGTAGCGTTATGTTACTACCTACACGAACATTTTTTGTGGTATTGCCTGTACAATTTCATCGTCACTCTCTTCTTCGAGATCCGATATTGTTCCATTTTCTAATAAATTGAGTAAATTATCCACATCTTGACTTTTAGATAGATCAAAACCTAAAAAGGAATAAAAATAACATGTAAAATTCAATACAAAGTTTTATTGTAAATACGTTTGGTTTACAACGATTGTGACCCCATGTCCACTGAAATGGATGTCGACTTTATTTTCAAAATTATGAAAACAACCGCATGTTTAGTATTTTTTAAAAATGTGTATCTTAGCTAATATGATCACTATGCAGAATAAAAAATATCTAAACAATCGATCAAATCGTTTTGGAGTAAATAAAATAACACTAAAGACTTACTCGCATTGCGCGTATCCATGGCGAACATCAACAGACTAATTATTTCATCCTACCTACAATAAATCCTTTGGTGTTTTGTATATCATAACGTTTCTAGGTAAGTGGTCGGTACAATCAAATGTTTACACTAGCGTTTTTATTAATCTACCTCATATTTCATGCAATAGTAAAACGTGTCCATTGAAATGGACGCTGTGTCTGAAGGGGTTAAGAGTGGTGAATAGTGTTCAGTTCAGTCCTTAGAACAATTAAATTTTTTATCTAAATATGTTTAAAAGTCATAAAGATTATTGTATAACCTAAAACTACGTTATCGTCATTTCTCACTCGGGGCCACGCTAATCATTAGTCTATAGGTTTCTCTGTCTACGGAAACGGACCAGTGCGCTGACCCTAAAATTACAGTTTAGGGCCAACGCGAATCAGTCGACAATGGTGCGCGCGCAAGACGGATTTGCCTGTCACAAATATGTCTAGTTGCGTGGTAAAAAAATGCAAAAATTATGATACAAAGATTTAAAAAATAAAACATGGGATCTCGTATCATCGGTAAATAACCTTATATTAGTTTTGTTACAATTTAATTATTGTATAAACGCATTTTTAAAGTTTTATTTTACAGTTTAGTTACGTTACCAGGATTAGGCCAGGGTTTGATTTAGACCCTCAAAAATATTGTACATGGAAAATAAAATTATACTATTTTAAAAAAATTATATCACTTTTGACGTTTCATGTTTATTTTTCCCATGTGCCGGGATTTTGGCGTCACGCGTCTAGTTTATCTATACGTTTCGTTTTTTGATAGTTTTATTTTTATTTCTGTTTAATTTTTGTCTAAAGAACTTAGTGTGAGTAAAATTTTGAATATTGGTACCTAATATATTTTATTATCAATAAGGTTAAAACGAAAAGAGTACAAAAGAAACCATATCTGCTTAATTGAATCTGAAAATCTGATTCATAAAATATTTTGAAATTCTGTTTTCAAACCGATTGCTTCTGGAGCATAGAGTTTTTATCGTGGTAGCCCATCATTATAGTTGTATCAAGGATGCAACATAAATGCATCGATCGAGCATCGATTGACCAGAATGAAGCTAATTCTAATTTTATTAAAAAAACGCGGTACCATGTACAATACAGAAATTCTCGATATCGTAGGGTTAATATTAAAATGTAAAAGGACCTAATAATAATACAAGTCGACCTTTAGGTAAAATTATGGTATTTTCGCTTAGTATTATTAAGATACTATGTACTACAAACTATGAAATAATGGTACAATTAGGATAGTTATACTACGAAATTCGACCGTGGTCGAATTTTTTTTTATATGACTGTATTGTTTTGATATAACGTTTGTATTATGACAGATGTGCTACTTTTTCTTGTATGGAAAAGTCATAGTGATAAATATCCATAGATATATACTTTTAAGTCAGTGGGAAAAGTTATGAGTAAAATATTTAAATGGGCCTATCCTTCCTTTTGAAACCATTGCATGTTAGTGAAATGATCTAAACAGAAACCAAAAAACTTTTCTGCCAGACAATTTTATCATAGTAAAAATTATGGTTAGTAGTGTAGTATATTTTTGAACAAGTAACAACGAATTAATGTTTTAAGGTACCGACAGACGTGCTCATTACTAGCACGAAGGCATGCTTTTATTGAGCAAGTGCTCATTAGTAGCACGTATGTACACGTATTAGTACTATATAATTAGCATGCTTATTTTGAGTTTGCTCAAAAATCTACCGACGTTTAATTTTCGAGCATGCTACCTGAGGCGCGAGAAGGTGGGGGCGTGCTGCGAGCGCGTCTGAACAGGTTTGCTTATGATTATTTTCAATATGATTATTTTATCGAGTTCTGTACGGAGAGCACTGTCACATTTTGGTCGAGAGCCTGGTGCTAAATAGCACGTCTGTCCAGAGTTTGCTATGAGCATGCTTATTTAAAAGTATGCTTTCATCATCATCATCATCATTACAGCCCTTAACAAGTCCACTGCTGAACATAGGCCTCCCCCAAGGTATGCCACAAAGCACGGTCTTGAGCCATCTGCATCCATCGACTTCCTGCATGTCTTACCAGGTCGTCACTCCATCTAGTGGGGGTCGCCCTACACTTCGCCTACCGGTACGAGGCTGCCACTCGAGAACCTTTTTTCCCCAACGGTCGTCGGTTCTTCGAGCTATATGGCCGGCCCATTGCCACTTCAGCTTACTAATCCGTTGGGCTATGTCGGTCACTCTGGTTCTACTGCGGATATCCTCATTTCTAAGTTTATCACGCAGAGAAACTTCGAGCATAGCCCTCTCCATAGCTCGCTGAGCGACTTTGAGCGTCCTGATACGGCCAGCAGTGAAGGACTACGTCTCGGTTCCGTAGGTCATCACTGGCAACACGCACTGGTTGTACAACTTAGCTTTCAGGTTTTGAAGTGTTATTAATTATTGCCGGCAAATGTGAACAGTCGCACAGCATGCTAATTTTAAGCAGGCTTATGAGCATGCTTTTTTGAGCACGCCTGTCAGTACCATTACTACACAAAATCAAGGAATTTCGGGTTAATTAAAGGTTTTCGACGTACATCGTCATCATCATCATTACAGCTCTTGTAGTAATCTACAATCACCCACTTATGAGTATGGGCCGCCATCTGATGAGGGATGAAATAAAGCATAATCCACCACGCTGCTTTTGTGCGGGCTGAAGGAGGTTTTAGGCCAGTAACTAACCCATTAATGTCGTCTACATAGACCTCTAACATGCGAGTATTGCAGACAATCTTTCACAAAGTGGATTTTATAAAGAATATGGGCTGTCGTTGAATATTTAAGATAGCTTGAATCAACTGTTTGTAAAAATAAACTAAAATAATTATTAATACTATTACTAAAATACGCCGTGTTTTGGTGGTTAAGTATATCCACTAGCAACTCCACATCTTCCCGTAGATGTCGTTAAAGGCGACAGAGCAAAACAGGTAGGAGATGGGCAGCAGCATCTTCCTGATCACAGCAATTGTACACCAAAAGAAAACTGCGGTTGCCAACCCGCTCTCCAACAGTGGCAACTATGGCGGTATACCCCCATGAGCGACGTCGCAAATAAACAGCACCCAGCCCCCGGTGGCCCCGCTATTCCTGGCTATGGTGGTATCTGTGGTAACGGCGGGGCAGGGGTGCTAAGAATCTCCGGTGGAGATTCGGTTGCCATCTAAAACGACTCGAATTGGCAACATACAACGCACGCACCATGAGCATTGATGAGAACCTGGAGCTGGAAGAAGACAGAAAAATTGCGCAGGAATATTATAGGATTAACCGAAGTCCGAAGAGAGGGGGAGGACACAGTGATCCTCTAATCCGGTAACTTGTTCTATCACCGGGAGGGCGAGCATCTGTCCCAAGGAGTTGTCGGATTTATCGTCTACAAGTCTTTCGTTAACAACGTTGTAAAGATTGAAAGTGTGTCATCGAAAGTTGTGTACCTTGCCGCGATCTCTTATAATCAGAATCAACAAACGGTATTCGCTAATCATTCAGGTACACGCATCAACCTCGGCACATCCCGATGAGGAGCTGGAGGAAATGTACGAGGATATATCTAGAGTCGTGCATTATGATACGTACAGACGTGGTCAAATAAATGCATGCTCATAAGCTTGCTTAAAATTAGCATGCTCTGCAACTGTTCACATTTGCCAGCAATAAGCACTCTCAAAGCACGAGACGTGCTATTTGGCACCAGGCTCTCGGCCGAACTGGATGTACCAAGATATAGTGACAGTGCTATCCGTACAGAACTTAATAAAATAATCATATTGCTTGCAACCGAATGGCGTAAGAAGAAAAAGCAAAAGTTTTTCTTCCCCCCAGCGCGATATATCGAGGGTTGTTTTATTTGAAATTGACGCAGCAAATGTCGCGAATCGAGATCGATTCGATAAAACATGCTCATAAACAATCCTGTTTAGTTCAGATGCATTCGGAGCACCCTCTCCTACCCGCGCCTCAGGTAGCATGCTCGAAAATCAAACGTCGGTTGATTTTAGAGCATGCTCATTACTAGCAATACTGCGACACATATGCTACTAATGAGCCCATGCTCAATAAAAGCATGCTTTCGTGCTAGTAATGAGCACGTCTGTCCGCACCTTTAGGCGTGTGTAACTTCACGGAGCCGACTCACTGCTCCAAATCACTGAAGTGATTCAAAAGATTAGTTCAGTAACAACGTTTCAAATGCATCATTTGGATCTGAAACATTTCTTTGCTCTGTGCTCATTTCTCGCGACGCGTTGCTCACGAGGTGACGGAGCCACGAGCGAGAGAGATAGACTGAGACACTGATTAACTTAACTATTGACTTGCGAGTGGCGAGTGAGCGGGATAAACAATTACACTACACTACATAAGACTACACAAAATACTATCGAAAGCGAAACCTAATCAGATCGGGCTTCTTAAAAAGCTTGTTGGTAACTTCACTAATAGTGAAACAGAAACATTGGAGTTACTAGCGTCAAACTATTTCCCAGGGTCACACAAGAATTCAGCCTTGAATTCTTTCAGATCCGTACGAAGGCCTTGTAATGACGACTGGAGTAGGGCTGCAAATATAATAAGGCCAAGCCTGGTGCAGTGGACTTTTGACTCCTTTAAACCATTTAAAACAAGCGGGGAGGATGGAATAATTCCTATCCAACTACAGAGGGGTATCGACATCCTTCTTCCCTATCTGGTGAATATCTTCAGAGCAAGTTTTGCATGGGGATATATTCCAAAACGATGGACAATTGTCAAAGTTCTATTTATACCTAAGACTGGTAGAAAGGACCACGCTTTACTAAAGTCCTTTAGACCTATAAGCCTATATTCCTTTCTCCTTAAGACGTTGGAAAAGGTATAGATAAATATATAAGGGATGAAGCTCTAGCTACGGGGCCTATACATTACAACCAGCATGCTTACCGCAGAGGCAAATTTACGGAAACAGCCCAGGTGTCATTGACAGGGTCTAAAAGGCACTGGAGGATAAAGAAATAGCTCTTTGCGCCTTTCTAGATATTGAGAACGTTTCGACAGTCGCCAGTTCGCCATCACTGCTGATTAGGGGCCTGACGTCTAAAAATGTTGACCCCACAACCATCAGATGGGTGATGTTGATGCTCTCAAACAGAAAGACAAAAATAGCGTTGTTTCAAACTTAATTCAACTAGGCTGCCATTTTGCAACTTCTTTGGATTCTTGCGGTTGACCTACTATTGAAAAAACTACTATTGAGACCTACGCATTGACACACTAGGTTATGCTGATGACCTTGTGATCATTGCGAGGGGCTTTTGAAGTACGACGAAGTACTTTATCGTCAGTCATACAAAGAGCCCTAAACACCTTAAAGATAATAGTTTATCAGTTAATGCTGATAAAACTGCTATAATACCCTTTACCAAAAAGAGACGGTTGGACAAATTAGTCCCACCAAAACTCAATGGTAAAGAAGTACCATTTTCCTCTGAAGTAAAGTACTTGAGCGTAACAATCGACCAAAAACTAACATGGAACTCTCACCTTATGCCATACGGCAAAAATTGCTTTATGTACGTGTAGACGTTTGGTCGGGAACAACTGGGACTTGCGTCCCAGTATGGTCCTATGGCTGTACAGCAGCATAGTGAGGCCGATTCTCACCTACGCCTCTATTGTCTGGTGTAACAAGGAAAACCAAAGCGGACAGACTAAATAGTCTACAAAAGACTGCCTGCTTAATGGCAACTGGAGCTATGCGATCACCGCCCGGAGCGGCTATTAATGCACTTCTATGCCTAACGCCCCTTGATCTTTATCTAGACAAGGAGGCGGGGGCTAGTTTGTATAGGATTAACGCCCAGGGCGGTCTGAGCTTGCTCTCCTACAGATAGAGATCTATGCTCGACTTAATTAACACTTTCACTGCCAAAGAACATTGACAAAATAATCATTCCCCAAAAGCGAATATTTTTTTGTTTCGATTTTTATTAGGTTTCAATTAACCGCACTATTTATATAACATAAGTTAATATTATTATTAAAAAATACTGTTTTCGGATTCGAGTAGTTTTCCTACAGCAATGCTTAGAGCCAAATACACGGATCCGAGTGTAGTCTAATAGCGTAAGCATATTGCTTAGGCTATTAGGCTAAGTTTGTATTATTTACATAATTTGTTGAAATTTTACGGTCTTGTTTTACTAAAATGAAATAAACTCCTGACGGTTTGACAAATTGTATTGAAAAAGTAACTAACAATATGGGAAAAATTAAAAAGTAATTAAAAGTCGAAGAACAAAAACAACGAAACGACAAGTCCGCTGTCATTGTGAAGTATTAAATTTATTTAAGATTTAAGAGTGTGCTTTACAGAAACACTGTGCAGAATCCTGGAGAACCTTCACATTGCTTGCATTCGTAAATTGTTTGCACCCTCTTCTTCTGAGTTCTGCATCCTTTGCATTATTTTCTAATCACTTGCTTCATTTCTTTCACAATACGACCAACTTTCTTTTGTCTGATTCTAATTTTTTTCTATTTTTGTGAGTTCGAGCTTTATTGTCAGAGCGGTGCTACAGTCCCTTCAGCGGTGCCAAGTTGACTGTCGGTATATCGAAGTGCTGAAGTGTTTGTACAGTAGGGCTACGATGGCTATCCGAGTACAGAACCAGACCTCGAAACCTATCCAACTGCAGAGAGGTGTAAGACAGGGTGACGTTATATCCCCGAAACTCTTCACCGCTGCATTGGAAGACGTTTTCAAGCTACTGGACTGGAAAGGATACGGTATTGACATCAATGGCGAGTACATCACTCACCTTCGATTTGCCGACGATATAGTCCTTATGGCAGAATCGCTGGAGGACTTAAGCACTATGCTCAATGACCTCAATAGTGCCTCCCAACGGATAGGTCTTAAGATGAACATGGACAAAACAAAGATCATGTTCAATGTCCATGTCACACCTATGCCGGTAGTTGTTGGGAGCACTATGCTCGAAGTTGTTGACGAATACGTTTACCTGGGACAAATAGTCCGACTAGGTAAGTCCAACTTCGACCGAGAGGTCAATCGACGGATTCAACTCGGCTGGGCAGCGTTCGGGAAATTACGGCATATCTTTTCGTCAGGTATACCTCAATCTCTAAAAACTAGATTGTACAACCAGTGCGTGTTGCCAGTGATGACTTACGGATCTGAGACGTGGTCCTTCACTGCTGGCCGTATGAGGACGCTTAAGGTCGCTCAACGAGCTATGGAGAGGGCTATGCTCGGAGTTTCTCTGCGTGATAGACTCAGAAATGAGGATATCCGCAGTAAAACCAGAGTGACCGACATAGCCCAACGGATTAGTAAGCTGAAGTGGCAATGGGCCGGCCATATAGCTCGAAGAACCGATAACCGATGGGGAAGAAAGGTTCTCGAGTGGCAGCCTCGTAGCGGTAGGCGTAGTGTAGGGCGACCCCCCACTAGATGGAGTGACGACCTGGTAAGACATGCAGGAAGTCGATGGATGCAGGTGGCTCAGGACCGTGCTTTGTGGCATTACTTGGGGGAGGCCTATGTTCAGCAGTGGACTTGTGAAGGGCTGTAATGATGATGATGATGATGATGTCAGAGCTTTGTGTCGATAAACTTCACGAAGATTAGGCAGTAAACTTTCCAATATCTTAAGACAAATCATATAGACTTTATCAATTGAATAAAATTTGTTATACAAGTAAAATGACATGTGGACAAACAATTTTTTGTACCACCGCAACGTTTTTCTTTGATGCGGGTAATACGCCAGCATCTGATCCTGTAGATCTACGATAGATATAAAATTGTTATATTGGGCAATTGCCGATGGCTTTAATTTTACTTATCGTTTGATCCAGCATATACTTGAAATTTTAAAACGGTGCCATCTTGCTTTGCGAGAACATATAGCTTGATGCCGTGCCTTTTGTTTTTAATATACTGCCTGAACAGCAACCGACCTAGCCACAAAACTTTTGACTTGTCCAAATATAACTGTTTTCCTGGACAGTATATCATATCTATTTTGTTTTTGAAATGATCCATGATATATCTATGAGTCACTTATTCAGTTAAGGTGAATTGTACTAGTATGGAGAAGTCTTAGAAATGTAAATAGTTCTTCCCAAGTCAAATCTTTCCACTGATTTATTCTTGAATATTTGGTCACATATTCTCCAGTAAATATTTTCATAGCATTGGTACTAATATCAAGACTAATCTCCCGGAAAATGAGGTCCAACAGATCATAATCAATAATTAATCGAAATGCCTCGTAAGGATCCGATGGAGGGGGCACAAGAAGTTCTTGCTCTTTAGTGAAATTAAATGTTTTCATTGAATTCCGGTCACTGCTCCAAGTACTAGTCGCTCCTTTTCGAGAAGGTGAAATATTGTTCAGATTGTCAGGCAAAGGAACATCAAGATTTTAATGCGAAGTGTTAAGAGTACGTGGTTCCGATCTCAGAGCTGATAATACAGGAGTAGATATATTCGACCTTACAAATTACATACAAATCAGGAGTGGGTGCATCGGATTGCAGTAGCGATATGTTAAGTGTAGGAGCATTTTCCAGCATCACGCGTACCTGTTGTTGTTTTACTCCTGGACGTCATCTTCAACTGTTTACGTTTAGTTCTCATGCCGAAAATACTATTAGCACTGCTACTACTCGGCTCATCTGTACTTGACCACATCTCTTTTTCCCAACCTTGAGAATAAATATCTTCATGACTGGAATATTGATTCAAAAAGTCCAAGTCGTTCGTACGTTCAAGCTACCACTACAAAAAAATAAACTACAACGACAAATAAAAAACTAATATATGATTTTCTTAATTAAATAATTTATCGGAGTGGCCGCATTAAGTAACTTGCACTTGTCTCGAATGCCAAAGTTATAATGACTGGAGAGAAAAGTGTACTAGGTGACCGCTCGGATCCGAGTGCGCGGTAGCACTGCAAGTGCCCCCGTGGCTCCCGTTCTCTCGGATCCGAGTGGGGGGAACAGAATGTGTTAAGGAAACACCGGTCTTATGCATGATCCCAGATATTATGCGTCCACTACACACTTTTGATAAAAAGTATATAGTGGAATCACCCTCCAGAGAAAACTGGGTGAATGGCCAAGTTATCCGTGAGGTCGGTAGCGTCATATGGTATACCGATGGGTCTAAAATGGGCCTCAACGTAGGCTTTGGATTTTACGGGGAACGCCCCAAATTCAAACTTAGTATGAATTTGGGTAGATTCACCTCTATCTTCCAGGAAGACATTTTCGCCATACTTTAGTGTGCGGAAATCAATCTGCAAAAACATTACGTCAACCATATAATTTATATAATAAACTAACAGTCAAGCAGCACTGCTAGCGCTGAGGTCAAAGTTAGTGAACTCGAAGCTAGTTGGAGACTGCGTGAACCGTTTAAACGCCCTGGAATGCAACAGAGTCGTCTTAAGATGGGTTCCGGGTCACGCGGGTATTGTAGGCAAAGAATTTGCCGACAAACTTGCACGGGAGGGCTCAAAGTGTACACAATTTGGACTTGAGCCATTTTGTGGAATCTCAAGAAGTCTAGCCCGATTGATCCTTGAAACTCTTTTTCACAATAAATTGCTTAAGATCTGGTCTGACACACCAGGCTTAAAACATTCTAAAACCTTAATCTGTGCTTTTAATCGTAAATTCGCTTCAGAAGCCCTGGGATTAAGTATAAATATTTTGCACATTCTGACAAGAACCCTAACTGGACACTATTGTCTTAAAAAGCACGTGTCCATCCTGGGACTAAGCAACTCAAGGATGTGTCGGTTCTGTTCCATAACGGAAGAAACGCCTCTGCACATCCTAACTGATTGCGGACCCTTAATGTTACATGAATGTACCGAATACAAAGGTTTTGCAATCGCTCAAGTTTGTTTAATTGCTCTTCTGTGGCATCCAAAAAACAGACATCAGCATAATCTAAGATGGGCAAAATAAGAGTTTGAACAAGAGAGATTTTCGTTGATAAGGGTAAAAAACTTTGAAGTCGTTTTAACAAGTGAAAACACAATAAATTATTCTGCTTAAGTCCATTACGTGAGGACCCCATGACAACGTATTGTCAATAATTAAGCCCAAGTTCTTCACAGATTCAGTATACGCAATTGATATGCCATTGATAATCACATCTGGCAGGGTGCATTTATCAATTAAGGGTACACTAGTCGCTTATTCTTCCATACAAACGTAGTCTGGCGATTACTCCACTGTTTGTAGGTGTACGTTCAAAATAAAAAATGATTTCACTTTGCCTCATCATTATCTAGCCCTGTATGGAAACAAAAAAGTAAAAAAAAGAGTATTGTAACAGTTATTAAAATAAAAGAGGGTAGAAAACTATAAGCACAATAATTTTATTTAATTTTAATATTTCGACAGCGTTTCGTCTTATAAGAGCGGTATTATAAGAACTCCCAAAAATGAGGTTGTAAGGCACTATATAGCTGGACCCCCTACCAGAGGCATCCGGTAATTAGAGTGGTGGCTTTGGTTTGGCTTGGCTACGATTGGCTGGCTTGAATGGTGCGCTGTGATTGGCTGTGGCGGTGTGGCGTAACATTCGGCCGTCCTGAAACAATAATTGCTCCCGCAATGGGAGAAGCTTGGTTAACTTTCTAGCAGATCAATAAGGTCCTCGGTTTCTAGTTGTTCATCGGAACTACTGGCACTGTCAGATATGGGAACCGTACTGTGATATGGCCTCAAGGAGTCCGCTGCAACCAGGCCTGTGAAGGCCCTGTAGCCTCGGAGTCCCTTAATACTTCGAATCCTATATCTGTCATTGCCCAACACCTTGATTACGATATATGGACCTGAGAACACGTCGTCAAGTTTAGTGTTCACCTTAGTTGCACTACTTGTTGGTGCTTGCCGCCAAAGAACTAAATCCCCCTTTTTATAGATACGACTTGTTTTGCGCTTCTCATCAAAGTTACGTTTCATCCTATCACTGGCTATTCTTAACTGTGCACTGGCTTTGTTACGCCTAACCTCCACTGGCTCACTGACACTTTCATTGGTAACAATGTCACAACGTGGCCTTGAGCTTTTGGAAAACATCAATTCATAGGGCTTGTAGGTTGTACTTTCATTCGCGGTATTGTTAATACCCCAGAGAATATCAGGTAAGCTGTTCGCCCAATTATTTGCAGCCTCGCTAGGATCTGTGGCACACAAGGCATTCAATATGGTACGGTTGGTGCGTTCCACTTGACCATTCGCTCGCGGGCATGCGACGGAGGTTAAGATGTGCCTAAACTGTTTATCAGACGAGAACCTTTTGAAGTGTCTACTGGTAAAAGCCTTCCCATGGTCACTTACAAGTTTATGGGGGTAACCGAATAAACTGAATATTTTTCTGAGTGCTCTAATGGTTTCCACGGAATTGAGTGTTCGAGTTGGCTCAGCAATAACAAATTTAGAAAAGGAATCTGTTATAACCAGCATATACTGATAGCCTTTGGCTGTCTTGCAAAATGGGCCTAAGTGGTCGACATGAATCATGATCATGGGCTCTGTGGGTTTGGGAATAGGGAACAATTTTCCTTCTTTCTTTCCATGATCATTTTTACCATAAGCACAATTAAGGCAAGCAGTAACATACTTTCTAATAAAGCGAGTAAATTTTGTAAACCAGTAGTATTTTTTTATCAATTCCATACACTTTTGGAAACCTACATGTCCTATGTCATCATGGTGCATCTGGACTAGCCTCCATCGAGCTAATGCTGGCACTACGAGACGATTACCATGCAATGTCTTTTTATATAATCTATCATCTAAGAATACATAATTATTTGTTATTTCAGTGGCGGCTGAGCCATCCCTAAGCTGGTCGACGATTCGCTTCAACTTGTCATCCTGATACTGGACAGTATAAAACCAGTCTGACACTTCAAGGCGATTCACATTCACAGTATCGATTGGGTTCCTACTTAACGCGTCTACATGTTTCATCCTCTCTCCTGGTCTATACTCTACACTCATATCAAAATCTTGGATTGAAAGCCACCACCTGGCTATACGCGGGATAATGTCACGTTTAGTTAAAGTGGCACGAACGGCTGTACAATCAGTCACGACCTTGACATGTTTGCCTACGATGTACACCCTAAACCTACGCAACGATTCGACTACCGCAAGAGTTTCAAGCTCGTAGCTATGATACATGCTTTCTTCTTTACTCGTTACCCTACTGAAATACATAACGGGGCGTAATGAATTATCAGTTTGTTTTTGCAACAAAATGCCTGCGATACCTGTTTTGCATGCATCCGTATGAATCTCCGTCGGTAATGCAGGGTCATATAAAGCTAGTATAGGTTTTGTACACAAACATTGTTTTAATTGTTCAAAACTATTAGATTGTTCACGGCCCCAATTCCACGCTACGTTTTTCTTTGTTAAGTCGGTTAATGGGCGAGCAATTAACGCGAAATTTTTAATAAATTTACGGAAGTAACTACATAACCCAATAAATTGACGTATCTCGTGAACGTTACTAGGAGTGGGAAACTGTGACACTGCTGCCAACTTATATTCGCCCGGTTGAATGCCACTCGGTGTAATTTCGTGTCCTAAGTATGTGATTTTATTTTGTAAAAATGAACACTTACTCATGTTTAGTTTTAAATTTTCTAATCTTAATTTATGAAGAACCTTCTCTAAAATATCTAAGCCTGACTGCACATCAAATGATGGTAATAACAAATCGTCTAAAAATGCTAACACTTCATAGTCGTTCGTAAAATTATTGCGTGTTTTCGTACTACCGCCTTTTGAAAAGTTATTGGGATTTCGTAATGAATCTACGATCTTGTTTATAAGCCGCATAAAAACTGCTGGTGCATTAGCCAATCCAAACGGGACACGCGTATATTCAAAGTGCCCCTGCGGTGTGATAAATGCGGTTTTGTATATGTCTTCAGGATCAATTTTAACCTGATGGTAACTCTGTGCTAAATCAAGACTTGTGAAGAACCTCTTGCCAGCTAACTTTGAAACCTGATCATCGATATTGGGCAACGGATACCTATCTTTGACTGTAATAGCATTAAGTGCTCGATAGTCGACACAGAGCCTACTATCGCCGTTCTTTTTCTTTACAATGATAACTGGAGAAGCAAAACAAGATTCAGACTCTCGGATTATACCTGCGTCTAATAATTCGGTGACTTTGGACCTAACTATCTCCTGCTCACTATGTGACAAACGGTAGGGTTGGCGGTATATAGGCTGATCACTTGTTAATTTTATTTTCATTTTTAATAAATCTGTACATCCCAAGTCTTGTGTTTTATTCGCAAAACAGTCACTGTAATTAGTCAATAAGGCAATTAAACTATCGTGATCGTTTTTATTTAATGGACCCGACTTAATATCTTCTACGTTTATTCCCCCAATAGTGCTAACATGGGCTAGGCTAGTGTGCAACAGAGATGCTATAGAGTTGCTATAACAATCATTACTGGCTTTGGTTACTGAAGTCAATGGCAAAGTGTAATTTTGTGGGCTAACCTGAACTTCTGGTGGCGGTGAGGCGACGCAGCTATCTGCTCTGGTCAGCACCTCTCCCTGCTCCCAGATGACGTTTTGAGC